TTAATTAATTCAGAAAATCTTGTCAGGACCCCACCTTGATGTTTCAGGACCCCACTTTGGGTCTCGACCCCAACTTTGGGAAACACTGATTTACACGACAGTGTGGAGAGTTGCACAGTAATAATGGAGTTATGAAGGTAAATATACAATAAATAAAACATGACAGTTCTCTTTGAAGCCATTATGCCACAAAGAGATTCCCATCTCTTTTTTATGTTTAAACTGTCCAGCTACAAAAACAAAATTATACAAAAGACAATAACAGCTTTTAAAGGAATAATGTTTAAATCAATCTGTGAAAAGAAAATCCCTATTTACTACTAAAAATCTTGGTAGGCTGTGGCTGCTTGAAGCAGAAGCTGATTCAGCTAATTGAAAAAAAAAGTAAAGATCAAAAAATGTGAAATGCTGACCGTGCATTATGCATTTACAAGCACATCAAAGTTTGTGATTTTTATTTTTTCCTCAGATGCCATGGTGACGGAGGGAGGAGAAAACTTCAGTCAGGGTCAGAGGCAGCTGTTCTGTTTGGCCAGAGCCTTCGTGAGGAAGAGCAGCATCCTCATCATGGACGAGGCCACGGCCTCCATCGACATGGCCACGGTCAGCGTGCGACTTGCAGGAACGCTGCATCTTATTTTATGTTTTTAGGCTGAAAACGTGACGGAGGCGCAGGAAATGAGGAGAACAGACAGATTTTTAGCAGTAAATACGAGAACAAAGAGAAAAAGCAGACGGAGATGTTTATAATCTGACAAAGATAAAGAACGGTTTCTGATGTTAAATGGAAATTTGAGCTGATGATACCAGCAGAAAACATGGAAGTAAAAAAAAGTAGCAGCTTAAACTGAAGCTTTTAGGAGGAAGCAGAGAGGTGAGTGTGTGCTTGAAGCTGGGAGATAAAAAGTGACGTAGAAGTAAAAAAAAAAAAAACAAGCAGAGTGCAGTAAGATCCTGAGGGGAGCTTCACATCATTTCAAGCACATTCAAGCATCCTAGAGTTGATGTTTGTGCACAAAGAGCAAAACTCAGGCTTACAATAGCAGCAGCACAGACCTCGAGGTGAAGCAGTAAAACAAGATCAAATAAGATGAAAAATAATCTTTTAATACATTTTTTCCCAGTAACCTCTGTTTCAGACCTTTTTCTCTTCCCACAGGAGAGCATCCTGCAGAAGGTGGTGATGACTGCTTTTGCTGACCGGACAGTAGTGACCATAGCAGTGAGTACCTCCTCCTGCGCTGCGCCGGCGCTTTAGGCTTTTACAGTAACTTAAACGGGTCGAACGTTTCCTCGCCCCCTGAGAACGATGACCTCCATTCTGCACCGGTAATATGGTTCTTGTAAAAATGACGCACGGCTGCAGGTATAACTAGGACGTGAGGAAAGACAGCAGATCCCTGAGCTATTATTACTTTACTGTAAAGGTCATAAATGTTAAGGTTATAATTCTTTTTAAGCCAACTTGGTACCTATAATTGCAAATCCAGGAAAGTATATTCAGCGGGTAAAATAAGTATTGAACACGTCACCATTTTTCTCAGTAAATATATTACTAGAGGTGCTAATGACATGAAATTTTCACCAGATGTCGGTAACAACCCAAGTGATCCATACATACAAAGAAATCAAACCATAAATGTCCAGAAATGAAGTTATTTGTAATAATGTGGAATGGCACAGGGAAAAAGTATTGAACACACTTACTGAAGTTTATCTAATACTTTGTACAAAAGCCTTTGTTGTCAATGACAGCTTCAAGATGCCTCCTGTATGGAGAAACTAGTGGCATGCATTGCTCAGGTGTGATTTTGGCCCATTCTTCCACAAACAGTCTTCAAATCTTGAAGGTTTCGTGGACCTCTTCTATGAACTCTGATCTTTAGTTCTTTCCATAGATTTTCTGTTGGATTCAGGTCAGGTGATTGGCTGGGCCATTCCAGCAGCTTTAGTTTCTTTCTCTGAAACCAACTGAGAGTTTCCTTGACTTTGTGTTTGGGCTCATTGTCTTGCTGAAATGTCCAGCCACGTTTCATCTTCATCATCCTGGTAGATGGAAGCAGATTTTTATCAAGAATGTCTCTGTACATTTTTCCACTCATCCTTCCTTCAATTATTTGAAGTTTGCCAGTACCATATGCTGAAAAACAGCCCCACACCATGATGTTCCCACCTCCAAACTTCACTGTTGGTATGGTGTTTTTGGGCTGATGTGCAGTGCCATTTGACCTCCAAACATGATGTGTATTCTGGCATCCAAACAGTTCAATGTTGGTCTCATCTGACCAGACTATATTCTCCCAGTATTACACAGGCTTGTTTAAATGTTGTGCAGCAAACTTTAAAGGAGCTTCAACATGCTGTTTCTTCAGCAGTGGAGTCTTGCGTGGTGAGCGTGCATACAGGCCATGGTGGTTCAGTGCATTACTTATTGTTTTCTTTGAAACAAACATACCTGCTAATTCCAGGTCTTTCTGAAGCTCTCCACAAGTGGTCCTTGGCTCTTGGACAACTCTTCTGATAATTCTTTTCACTCCTCTGTCAGAAATCTTGTGAGGAGCACCTGGTCGTGGTCAGTTTATGGTGAAATGATGTTCTTCCCACTTCTGAATTATGGCCCCAACAGTGCTCACTGGAACCTTCAGAAGTTTAGACATTCTTCTGTAACGGATGCCATCATTATGCTTTGCAACAATAAGGTTGTGAAGGTCTTGAGAGAGCTCTTTACTTTTACCCATCATCAGATGTTTCTTGTGTGATACCTGGCCATCATTTGGGACTGAACCAGCTGATATTAACTTGCACTGACAAGGGGCAGGCTTGCTTTCTAATTACTGAGAGAGTTCAGCTGGTGTCTTGGCTTTCCATGCCTTTTTACACCTCCCTTTCTTCATGTGTTCAATACTTTTTCCCCGGTGCCATTCCACATTATTACAAATAACTTCATTTCTGGACATTTATGGTTTGATTTCTTTGTATGTATGGATCACTTGGGTTGTTACCGACATCTGGTGAAAATTTCATGTCATTAGCACCTCTAGTAATATATTTACTGAGAAAAATGTYGACGTATTCAATACTTATTTTACCTGCTGTGTATATTTTTTATAAATCTCATATAATCCACATTTTATTTACAGTGGAACATAAATGTTTAACAAAGAAATGCCTTTTTTAAAAATAGGGTAATTTTGAATTTAATGGCACCAACACGGCTGTTTTAAACGAGCACCAACATTTCTGTCGAGCCGCTCGGTGCAGTGACGGGTTTCTTCCTCCCCTCCACCCCCCGCAGCATCGTGTCCACACCATCCTGAACGCCGACCTGGTGATTGTGATGAAGCGGGGGATCATCCTGGAGTACGACACCCCCCAGGCCTTGCTGGACAGGGAGGACAGTGTCTTCGCCTCCTTCGTGCGAGCCGACAAGTAAAGAAGCACAAGAAGGGGGAAAAAAAAGCTGGCGAGCATCAAAGGAAGACATTCAAAGTGCAATTGTCCCATGAAATATATGTATATTCCCTTTTTTATATTTTAAATCATGGTGTATTATATTTGTACATACAAATATTAATTCTTTGTTAATAAAACATAAATTATCACGATGGTGTGCTTTGTGGGAAAGWCTTGACAGGAGTGAGACTTTAAAACCTGACGGAGAGCTGACGTTCCTTTAGAGCAGTGGTTCCCAAAGTTGGGGTCGGGACCCAAAGTGGGGTCCTGAAACATCAAGGTGGGGTCCTGAAAAGATTTTCTAAATTCATCACATTTTTGCCTTAGTTGCCTAAAATGTATTAATGTGGAATAATAAATATAGTTACTATGCCCATGTTTAGTTGACCTGATACAAATATTTATCATCCAAAAACAGTTGTGGGCACAGGTCTGCTGTTATTTTGTGGCTCAAAAGCTGAAAATTTTGGGAACAACTGCACTTCAGAAATCAATTGAAAGGGTAATAAAACAATTGGTGATGAAATATTTCCCTATAATTATTGCAAAAACACAAAATAAGGATAAATAAGTATTTATATTTGTGTAGCCTTTGTTTTTAGGGTTATTAACAAACTTTGTGTACTCAGACCAGTAATATTTGGGGTCACAAGTTTTTGCCAGGAATATTTTGTGGGTCAGAAGATAAAAAGTTTGGGAACCACTGCTTTAGAGCAGGGACAACCTGAGGTTCTGGGACCACGTGTGGCTCTTGAGAATTTCTCACGCGGCTCCATTCAAGGTCAACCAAAAAGGACATAAACCTGAGTAAAGTTCAGAGGTGTTTAAAGTACTTGAAAAACATAAAAGTAAAAACCCATTAAGAGAAAATGACTTGGGTACAAATTAATTTAAGTACTTGTGTACAATTCCTAAATCTGCTCACAGTAAATCAGGAGAAAAAGTACTTTTACACACTCTAAAAAATGAAATGTTGAAATGACTTAACCAAGTTAAGTCATCTGGTTTCACTAAACAACGTTGATTAAAATGCTTTGCAGTTGACTTAACTTGGTTTAGTAATTTCAACACTTCATTTTTAGAGTGCATAAACAATATGAGTTGGTCATATTTAAATTTGTAGCAAGAAAGTTGTTTTAAATATTACAGAATAAAAGTAGAAGTTATTTAAAAATACTCTAAGGAAGTAAATATACTTCTTTACCACTCAAAAATGGATTGTTTGCTTTAAACGGACTGTACTTGTGTAGTGCTTTTCTATCCATCCAGGACACTCAAAGCACTTTACACTTCAAGCATTAGGGGTGAAGTATCTTGCTCAAGGACACAACAACTGAAAGCTGGACGGGGGATCGAGCTGACGACCTTCTGGTTCCAGGACGTCGCTCCTAACCACTCTACCACAGCTGCCCATTAACCAAACCAAACCAAACCAAACCAAACCAATTTTTAGTTTAGGTTATCAAGTTATATAAACAATTTCCACTCAACTGACATGAGTAAATGTAAAGTAACTTTCACATTTTAAAGGTACCTTTTACTCAAGTTATATAAATTCAACTCAGATGAGTGGAAACTATTTATAAACCTTGGTTAAGTAAACCAAACAATCTGTTTTTGCACAGAATATATGATTTTATTCCCATCCAGATTTTTCTAGTGTATTCTTTGAGTTTCAGAATTTTAAACAATTAATTATAAACCATTAATTTCAAATGCAAAATGAGTTTTGATGAGTTATGATTTTAAGCTCCAAGAACATTTTCTGTCTCTGGAGTTTTATAAAAAAAAAAAAAAAAGCAGAAACGACTCATTTAATTGTAAGGATTACAGACTGGTTTACTTAATTCAAGATTGTTTTATTTTTATTTTAGTAGATGTAATTACAAACCTAATTTGGTGTGGTTGGGCAGTCCACTCTGTTCATGAGGTTTTCAGAATAGCCTGGATAAGACTGACAGTTTTAATGAGTCGCTGATGATTTTTTTTCTCATCTGCCTTCCTTTACGCAGAGCTGCTGCTGCGTGTTTACTGCCTGTATGAAGGCGCTGGAGGCGGATTGTTGCTGCGCCTCTGAGCCAGCAGGGAAATGTGGAAAACGGAGAGTGAAAGCGATCACCCTGAGACCGTGGCGACGCGTCTGCTTACAGTGCGTAAAGGCGGACAGGTGCAGCGCAATTTTAGGCGTCGTCTTCGCTGCGTAACAGCGCGATCTTTGCGTTTAAAAAGCTGTAAAAAAAAAAAAAATCCACCGGGAGCGCGGGGCTGAGGCTGGGGGAGGGACCGCTTCTCCATCTAGAAACGTCTCGGTCTCACGTTACCGCGCCATGGTGAGGCGGCGATCGAGGTCACCGCACAACCGACTGCGACACACGATCCTCCCCACTCAAATGAATGTGAGAAAACGGCGCTCAGAGGCCCAGTGCGCTCGTGCACCGACCACTGGCTCTGYTTAAAAAGCCACGGCCGACGGGTGCGCCCCCGCTGGAGCAGCATCCACTGTGGCACCAGGTGCCGTGAGTGACGGCGGCATCTGCGGACCTTGGACCGGAGGAGGAATCCCCCCTCGTGGGACCCCGGAGCGGTCCTGAAGCGCCTGATCCGGAGGCAACGTGAGGCGCGCGCATTCCTCCAGAAGAACGGATCGCTTCCAGACTCTCTCAGCTGTGACACCGGCGAGGGCCGAGTGGAGGGGTAACGTCCAAGTCCGAACCGGACTCAGCTTCTTCTGGGAGAGGACGTAGCATGGGAGCGCGATGTTGTCCCGGAAAGGACTCATCCCCGAGGATTACCTGCTGACGCGTTTGGCCGAGGACGTCCTGCAGCCCAAGTTTAAGACGAAACAGGGCAAGGCTCGGTTCGTCCGAAAGAACGGCGCCTGCAACGTCGCGCACACCAACATCCGGGAGCAGGGCCGGTTCCTGCAGGACGTGTTCACCACGCTGGTGGATCTGAAATGGATCCACACGCTCATCATCTTCACCATGTCGTTTCTGTGCAGCTGGCTGCTCTTCGGGATGATCTGGTGGCTCGTGGCCTTCGCGCACGGAGACCTGGACCAGAAGGGAGACGAGTTCGTCCCGTGCGTCACGGACATCCACTCCTTCTCCTCCGCCTTCCTCTTCTCCATAGAGGTCCAGGTGACCATCGGCTTCGGGGGTCGCATGGTGACGGAGGAGTGCGTCTCGGCCATCATCATCCTCATCCTGCAGAACATCGTGGGCCTGGTCATCAACGCCATCATGCTCGGCTGCATCTTCATGAAGACRGCCCAGGCCAACAGGCGCGCGGAGACGCTCATCTTCAGCAAGCACGCGGTGGTCTCCCTGCGCAACAACATGCTGTGCTTCATGATCCGCATCGGGGACCTGAGGAAGAGCATGATCATCAGCGCCACCGTGCGGATGCAGGTGGTCAGGAGAACCGCCACCGAGGAGGGGGAGGTGGTGCCGCTGGACCAGATCGACATCCACATGGATAACCCGGTGGGCACCAACGGGATCTTCCTGGTGTCCCCCCTCATCATCTCGCACGTGATCGACAAGAGCAGCCCCCTGTACGAGCTGTCGCCCTGCGACCTGCTGCAGCAGGACCTCGAGATCGTCGTGGTGCTGGAGGGGGTGGTGGAGACCACCGGCATCACCACGCAGGCCCGGACCTCCTACGTGTCGGAGGAGATCCTGTGGGGGCAGCGCTTCGTGCCCACGGTCTCAGAGGAGGACGGGATGTACGCGGTGGACTACTCCAAGTTCGGCAACACGGTGAAGGTCCCGACCCCTTGCTGCAGCGCCAAGGAGCTGGAGGCGGCAGGCGGGATCGCGCGCTTTAAGATGCACGAGGGCGCCACCTTCCGGTCGACTGTGAGGAGGCGCAAAACCAGGAAGAACCAGTGACCTGCTGCAGTCAGGCTTAATAAAGAACTAAATCTATTTAAAAGCTGCTGGTCATAAAGGAAACTAATGGAACTGTGTCCAAACATCAGCATCCTTCAGCTCAGGGTCAGAGTAATGATGGTTAAACATGAGCCCTGGTATCCAGAGTGAAATGTCTTAATGTCTGAGTGACTGCATGGATTTTCATTTAATAAAGAACATATTTAATTAMAACTGTAAAACTGGAGAGGGGGTTCATAAGGTTTGGGCAAAAACAGGTGAAATATATCATTTGCATTTTCTGCTGTTGGCAATGCTGTGGGCAGAGTTATAAAGTACTTTATACAATATTTTAATTGACTTTTGTCAACTGGTTTCTGTTAAACCGAGTAAATTGCTTTACATTTGGTTAACACTTAATTTCTGAATTCATATTTATAGCTTAACGAGGCGTTGCATTTTAACATGGAGATAAATTTATCAKTTTGTTTCGAATGTAACAAAGTAAAAGTTCCATTAAAAATGCTTTGTAAAACTACAGATCCTAAAAAAAAAGACGTTAAGGACTGTAATGAAGTAAATGTACTTTGTTAGTTTCTATTTTGCTAGTTGTTTGTTTACACCTCTAGAAGTGGGGGCACTCATGGTGCTACAGCACACCCCTGGTAGATGCTAAAGGGGGTTCTCCAACTTTTTAAAATAATTTATTAAAAATATAATTTGACATTTTATCCCCTAAATACCACGGTCGTAATTCTTTTGTTTGGTTTAGTATTCATACTGTTCTCCATATGTATGTATGCATTTTTTAATATGACAAAATTAATTTATTGTATTCATTCGTTTTATTTATTTGCTACGGCTTGCGGACCCCAGTTTGAGAACCTCTGTAAGTGCTGTAGTCAAATGTAGATTTAAAAAAACACAAATGAAAACTTTGCATGTATGAATTAAAGCAATATTTTTGCAAATCTAATTGTATGAAACAGCATGCCCCAACTGAAACTTGCTCTCACCTCAAATTTGTGTAAATTTATGCACATCTACAAATTACTGTGATAAAACTGCAACACATAATTCACCCCCTCATACAGCCGTTGTTACAAGTTGGAAACTTCMCCATGAGTTGTTTTAAAAGTGGTTGAATTCTTTATAAATGCTTAGTTTTTAGGGCAGCACACAGATAACAAGCTTGTGATTGCAATAAAACCCAGGAGACCAGGTGGCATTTCTCTTTTATTAGATTATAATCCGCAGAGCTTAAAATATTAAATTGCTTTTAACTTAGTTATTAATTAAAATACATAAAAATGAGCCAGAACTGAGGAACCCTGCAAAAGAAGTTGAAATAAATAAAAAAGGAGAATTATAAATTCAATCCTCCTCTAAACAGAGGCTATATCTGACAGAACCCGCTTGTGATTCTTTGTACAGTAAGGTCCAAGCAGACTGTGCATTTTCTATACATGTGACAATATTCTTATTTCCAAACTAACTTTCCTCTGATAAACTTTAAAAAACAAAACAAAAAAAAAACCTGTAAAAAATAAAACCTATGTTTTTAGTTTTGAGAAAGAAGTACAGGTGACTGTTATACAGCAGAGCAGCAGAGCACCAGGTTTTCCCACCCCTCCTGTCTCATCTCTGTCCCTCGGGGCCTGCAGACATGACCTCATGTCTTTGTCCTTCTGTGCTGCTGGGGTGGGAGGTGGCGTTGGTTTAAGGGGCTGCTGCTGCGCTTAACATAAGCACGCAGCTGGGATCTACTTTAAACGGGCACCGAGTCTGTCTCAAAGTATCCACTCTCTGATGAGATTAAATATCTAGTACAATCTTAATTTGTCTCCGTTTGTCGTGTCCACCGTGTGTTCGCTGCCCTCTACAGGTGGGCGGTGGGAACTCTTTGTTAGGTGGTTATGGGAGTATAGTGCGGTTAAACATGGTCAACGTTTGTCAGTTTGGAGGAGGCGGGACAGAGAGTGAAAGCGAGAGGAAGTCCTCTCTGGCAGCAGTGACTTATTCTCTCAGGTCCTGAGTAGGAAGCGCTTTAATTGCCCCCCCGCTGCACACAGAAAGAACCCAAACAGTGATTGGCTAGTGTTGCCCCTGTGGGGCGGTGACGTGGCTCCCTGCTGGCCAGCGTTGCAGCCAGGCGCCCGGGGCGGCCTCCGGCTGCTGGAGGAGAGGMGGAGCCTCTTCTCCACACCTCAACACTACATCAGCAGGTCCAAGCAAAGCAGAGCCCCCCCTCCCCCGTGCTGTATCTCTATGTTCKGTGGATGAAGGTGGACAGACACACTGCACCCCCTCAAACAACATGAAATAAACTGAATAAAACTTCCAACAAAAACAAAACRAAAAATAAAACCAAAAAATACACATTTTTTTTGTTCCTAGTTTAAACTGCAGAGAAGATGGGAGGGATTTGTCCCTGGGAGGAACGCTCACGCCATTTCCCGCTGGCGTGACAAACCCCTCCCCGCCAACCCCAAACCTCGCAGAAAACCCTTCCCCGTCTTCCTTCCAGCTGCTTGGTGTTGGAGCGAAATCTAAGGGAAGGTCTCTTAAGTCCTGCTTTGCACCAAGGAAGGGGGGAGCCAGGCTGCTTTTCCTTCTCTCCGCTCTTATCTTCGATCGCCTCCCGGGGGGTGGGCCGCCGTCTCGCCGCTGCCCCTGCTCATCTCTCCGTCACGTGGTTCTGTGAGGAAGGGGAGGGGGCCGAGGCCGGGGTGGAGGGGGCCGGGGTGGGCACGGGCAGCGGGGCCGGGGTGCAGAGGACCTCGGACAGGTCGTCCATGATGCAGGTCTCCTTGGGGTCGATCAGGTTGAATTCCCTTACGAAAACGATAAAATGTGCGTACAGAGTGTTCAAGTGGCCCTGCAGGTCCAGAGCCACCGTCTCTTTAAAGTGCGCCCAGTAGAGGTGAGCCAGCACGTGAAACAGATACCGGCAGATCTTCTTCACCAAGGACTCGAACGAGTTGGGAAACTCTTTGCCTGGAGAAAGAAAGGGATAAACAAACAAACAAAAAAAAAAAAACAGGAAAAACAGGTTTATGACCAAGAATCACGAGGGAGAAAAAAAGAAAGGTTAAGGTTAAAGACGGTCATTGTGCTCAAGTTTCTTTAAGCATCAATCTACCGTGTGAAAAACCCAAACTTGACTCATTGCCAGGCTAAAGAAACACGATTTAAACAATGATCTAAAAAGCTGAACTCGTTAAAAGGCTTAAACTCTTCTTGGTAAGTTGGAAATTTAATCTGCATGCTTAAAAATAGTAAATTACTCTTTAGAAATCATGTCAAGATAGCAAAACTATTTGCACAGACTAAAAAAAAAATACTCCCTCTGGCACAAAATCTGGTATTAATCACTTATTTCTTCACCAAGTTTCATCACTTTTTTACTGCTACAGTTCTACACCTGAACCAGCAGAGGGCAGCGTAGCATCAGTTACAATGTCACATTTCAGAGGCCCTGCAAGMACTCACCGTATTTTGTAGGAAAAATTTCCTCATCTGTGACCAGCTTCTGACAGAGACTCATCACGAAGTCGACGTACTGTGGAGCAGTGCACTTCGTCTTCTTCCCCCTCTCATCATACCAGTAGTATATTCTAAAGCGGGACAAAAACAGAGACGGGTCATGTTGGTTGGTTTCGTATCGCGCGAGTTTCACAACGATTAAAAAAAAAGAAGTCAGTTGCAAAACTGCCAATCTCCTGAATGAACACAGAGGAATGTTTGTGGGCGCTCAGACAAAAACAAAMGCGTTTCCTGGAGTAAAGCAACGACTAAGAAATAAGCTTAACAGAATCTATAATTAACCTGTGAAACATCACCTGATCGCTTTCCTCATTCAGGGAAAAAAAAATCCTCAATGATTTTCTGAAAGAAAGAGTTCACACTCTGAATAATTTGTGTAAATAAATGTGCAAAAATGTTGGGATTTGGTGGTTTTGGTGACTCCTCTGCTGGTTCTGGTGCCGTTCAAACATTTCATACGGGTTGACCCCGATAACTGGAGCATAAAGTGAACTGACTGAGTGTTTAGTAAAAGGCCAGTCGGAGGGGGCTGGCAGCGCTGAGCTCATCAACTTTGCGAGTCAATCAGAAGATGGAGGGATGAATAAGCAGCAGGAAGTTTCTCGCAGACTCACAATGAATCAGAGGAAAAAACAGGGCGGGTAATAAAAAGAAAAAAAACACAACCGAATGTGATCTCAGACTCGTTTAACAGGCTGATAAAAACGGGAGAGCAGGTGCTGCTATGACACTGCAGGTCTGGGGAGGAGAGGTTCCAGATTCTGAGGAATGTCAAGTGTCCACATAACTGACCCTGGAGGTGATGACCTACTGACCACAGCTCCATCATAACACAAAGAACACACAACATTAAAAAAACACTGAATAAACTGAATACAGACCTAAACTAAAGCTCTGAATGTGACTATGTATAGGAAAAATAGAAGTAAATAAATCAGTTTAGTTTTAATACTTTTACTACTGTTTAAAAAATGTGTGTGTGTGTGTGTGTACTTGTATTTGTTAGCATTTTAGGACAGTTTCTGGTATACTACACATAACCTTATAGTCCTTATGGAGACCAAAGACTGAGCCTAATATGGTGGAACTCCATTTTTGGGTTTAGGGGTTGGGTTTAAGACTAAGGTGTGTGTACTGGGGTGTGTGTGTGTGTGTGTGTGTGTGTGTGTGTGTGTGAACTATGAGTTTGGTAGAACTTGGAAATTGAAACAGTTGATGTGAAGAAGCAGGGCCTCATGTTTCTGCTGCGGTGTGGCTCTACTGAAATATCTAAATTTGGAGAGCAGTATAACCTCAGGTAAGTTAAACAGCTGAGGAGAGCAAAAAAATGTACACATGCACATCTGTATGTCTGTTTTTTGATTATTTATTTTTATCTTATTGTGTTTTGGAGTAAATTTCTTTATTGATTGTTTTCTACGTCTTTTTCCTCAGTGAAAACCAGCTGAAGGCTCTTCAGATGAATTCTGCTTTAAATAAGGAGTCGAGGTAAATTGTAAAGAGACAGAAGCAACTTGAAACAGCTCATTCCTGACATTGTGAACATGTTCTGAATGTTGTAAATAAAATCATTTTAAACCAGTATTATTTGTGNAAAAAAGCAGCCTCGTGGGGACCGAACGTGCATCGTGGAGACCAATGCCCGGTCCCCACAGGCCCATATGCAAATTACAGTTGTGGGGTTAGGTTTAGGACMAAGGTTTAGGTTAGTTTTAGGGTCAGGTAARTACTTGTGAGGTTAATTTTAGAGTATATRGTCAGGGTTAGGCTATAAAGTCTAAAAAAACATGAATGGAACTCAATGGAAGGTCCCCACAGGGTCAAGAAACAAACGTGTGTGTGTGTGTGTGTGTGTGTGTGTGTGAGATATGTATGTTTTGTACCAGTGTAAAGCAAATCTACCTTTGGGTATAAATAAAGTACTAATCAAAACAAACAGAAAAATAGTATCAAGCCATATTTTAGCTCAACTACTGTAAAACTAGGGATGTCCCAATCCAGATTTTTTTGGCTCCCGATACAATCMGATTTCTTTAATGATTAGACTTTCCGATTCCGATCCGATAGCGTTCTTTCTTTATTTCTTTCCAAGTGACAAGGYTGATAGTAGGGCTGGGCGATTATTTGATCGCGATTATTAATTGAGAAAAAATTCAGGTCGATCAAGGTGATCAGCTGTGAGCCTCTTCCTCGATCAAACATGGCGGAAATGTGTGTGACAACAGCCAATCAGAATCCACCTTCTCCTGCTCCACTTCCKTTTATAAGTTGCTAATGAAACGCAGACAGAAATCACAGAATTAACTTAAGTAATCTAATATAAAACGCTGAATCTCACAGAGTTTGCTTATTTGGGTGAGCTTCTGAGGTATTTTGGCCGCTGTCGCTTCCTGTACCTGCTGTTACCTGCTAACAGGTATGCAGGGTGAGGTCTGAGCTCCCCTCCCAACATGGAGGGAGAGAGGGAGTGAAAAAAAAGAAAAGTGAGCTGCGTCGCACATCTCGCTAAAACAAAAACGTCCTTCAAAAATATGAAGCGGTCTCAGGGTAACGTTTAGGACAGAACAATGTCCCAGCCGTTCTTCATTTACCTGGAAAATAACTTTTCTGTAAGTTTTATCGGCGCACGATGGGCTGGACGAGACGTAAAGACCACTTCCTGTCTGAGTCTCATCACAAACAGCAGCTGAGAGACGCTGCAAACTCCTGAACACTCAGAAGCTGGGAGTTTGTCCAACATGTTGTCGTGTGCAGAATAAGATATTCTTTCAGAAAAAGTGAAACAGCGTTSTTTGTTGTTTGATAAAGCTCTGTAAACAGGAGGGGGTTCCTTCCATAACAAAAGTAAATAATGAGCTTCGATCCTATTCAGTTGGCAAGTGTACACAAATTGTTGCTGTTTGTAGGGTTTATGTTTCTTTATGGCATATTTAATGTGAAATTCATTTCTAAAACTTTAATTTTACAAAAGGATAACTTTATTAATGTGAGATTCTATTATTTACACATAAATGTTTTTTTCTTGGTAAATACCTTTTTGAAATACTTTGCAAAAATACTTTCATGTTCTACTGAACCACAGCTATTTGTTATATTAGTAAAAGTGAAATAACAGCCATTATTTTTTTCTGTAGCAA